TCAACGGGGAAGTTGGATTCACTTCATACTTGTGTTACTAACTAAACAGCTGCAGTGATTCATTCAACAACTATAAACAACAACAGCAAACAAATGTTTCACTTAACATCAGAAATGTTGAGCTTAGTTGTGGTCATAAGTCAAGGACTACCTGTAGATGCTGTTGCAGTAAATTCTTGAACTGAGCAAGGGGCTGGATTAGTTGATCTCCAGGATTCTTTCCAATCAATATGACTTCATATTGTACTTTGATATCATCTCTAATGTTACTCTAGTCTAGATAAAAGACTGGTTTGAACAGCAGTGCAGTGGACTGTTATAGATTATCACCTTTCTTAGATATTCCTTTTGGATGGAGAAGTGACATCAAATAGACTCTGTTCGTGATACAATTACCTTAGAGGTTTGTTTAACCATCACCTGTGGAGAATTAGGAAAATTATACTCCTTAATCCAGGGTTTGTACTTCTTTTTCTATTTGCTAAGAGAATGGGGCTTTGATAAAACTAACAAAACAAGAGATTTTCTACACTTGCAGTTGTAGGATTTAGGATTAGATTTTTGCTAAACCTTTAACATTAAGAGAATATAAGTTTGTTTAGATCTGTGGTTACCTGAGGCAAAGAAGAATTCCTACAAAATGCAGTAGGTGGAACCAGGAAAGATTTACAAGTGATGTGCTGCTTGGTAATATTGCAGAAAGAAAGGGTATAAAAAAAGAGATATATTTTTCTTTGTGAAATACTTGGATGATGAGTATGTTGGGTGGGAGGAGGAAGAAGAATTGAGCCAACTGATTAACAGATTTATTATTTTATCATAGGAATAATTCAGTGTTTCTCAATCAAAGGGTTCTTCCTCATAAACTCATAGCCAAGTTAAAGTTCTTGAAATAACAGAAAACTATACAGTCATAAAATGTGTGGTCTCCACTGGGAATCCTTATCCTGGATAAGCTCAATGCAAGCGACTGGTGATGTCCTTCTGTGTGGAATGCAGGGCACGTTAATAAAAGAGATTAGTAGTTTCCCACAATTTTTCTTTTTTTAAATCTCCAGCCAAATGTCGTCAGGTGTAAGAAAACACCCACCATCCATTCTCCTTGTTGTGGGAGGGTGATGGAGCTAGAAAGAAGGATAATTTTGACAGGTGGAAAGATAGGCAGGCATTCTGCCCATTGTCAGAATTCAGGCTGGGTTGACAGCAATGTTTTATGTGATATATTCAGTTTGTAATTGGGCTCTTTTGGAGAAAGCCTTAATGCAATCCTCAAATGGATCTATCCCGCACTACTACTAAGCCTAAATTAAAAGAAGTCTAACANGGGGGGGGAAGAACATACCTAGTTACGGATTGATCCCTCTTTCTATAGAACACAAAGAAAATTGGAATGACAGCTGTGGTTTTACAGCCCCATTCCAACCATCATTGTTTCTCTTATGTTCCTTATTATCAGGTTATGCTATATTTTAATAAGCTTAAATCTGCAAGTCTGATTCACATAAAGAAGCCTATTAAGGTCCTAGAACTGTGACTCATCAGGTAAAACAAAAATCTTGAGGGTCCTGAGGGTTTAATTGCTCATTAAGTTGACCAAGTGGTATGGGCACATCTTTAAAAATGAGTGAATGCTGTATATTAAGGCTTGTCGCTGCCTTGGCTTATTTCTTTAGAATATCGGGCTGCTTTTCTAGATTGTTCCACATGTTTGTGGTAATAAATTATCTCTATTCACTTGCTCATCCTAGGAAAAATCCGGCCTCTTAGTCAGATGTATCATCATTTAAATTTCAGCATCTTCAACGGAATCCACCATTGGCCCGTATTTTTTAACATTGCATAAATTCCAAATTCCAGGGGTGAAATCCAGCAGGTTCTGACAGGTTCTGAGAACTGGTAGTGGAAATTTTGAGTAGTTCAGAGAACCGGTAGCAGACGTTTTGAGTAGTTCGGAGAACTGGCAAATGCCACCTCTGGCTGGCCCCAGAGTGGAGCGGAAGTGGAGATTTTGCAGTATCCTTCTCCTGCCATGCCCACCAAGCCATGCCCACCAAGCCATACCCACAGAACTGGTAGTAAAAAAATGAATTTCACCACTGGTAAATTCCCACATGTTTTCATAAGGTGAGCTCCAGAACATAATTTTTGCCACATGTATAACCTGCTTTTCCTCAGATAACTCTGGCTCACTTTCATGGGCTTTTCTCCTCATTTTGTCCCATAACAACACTGTGAGGTAAACTGAGCTGACACTAACTGGCCCAGATTCCAAGCTTTATTCAAGACTGGCTCGAATTAACTC